AGGAAATGGATAATACTCTACTTATTTGTTCTCTTCCAACATATAATGGTTTACGCTTCTATTCAACCATCAAACTTGATATCATTTTCATACATAAGATTCCATGGATACGGCACAGCATTTGATAACTCCAGGATAGGTCAACAGTCATAAAAGCCTCAACAGCACATAAAGAGTAGTCAAGTTTTTCCCTTGCAGCATTTAGGATATGAAAAGTCTAGTTTTAGTATCTAGAACCAAAAGAATTAAGTACTATTTCAAAACTATATCTGCATTCCTTATGTAAATGCTTTCCAACATCAACTCTCTTCACCCTTGCTAGTAAATAAATCAATCAATTACAAGATTGCAACAATAAGATTACAGAGACACAACAACATAGACCAGCAACTAGATCCAATAATAAGTTCCACTATATCATATCTCTTTATCCTCACTTTTGCTTGAAGATGAATTAAATAAACAATGTATGATCTTATTGTCCAGACTTAAGGAAACATCAAAGTATAAATAAAGGAAGAAAGGAAAATGACAAGAGTTATCTAACGAACATCTACTCAATACTTAGAAAAGTACAGGGAATAAGCTATGTAGTTTTACTCACAATTGGCCCATTCTTCAGGGCATGTTCCTTGGCAAATCTGCATGCCTGTTTCACAGCAAGGGCATCCATACCATCTACCTGTTCTTGGACAAATATATAGGATTAACGATAACCGATATGAACAATGGAGAAACAAGAGAGAACAGACATGATTTCATATCATTCCATGACATTCTTAATTTATTTCTTTAACACTTTCAATCGACCAATGTCTTTTGAGATTGTCAAGCACTAAGGCTACTGATTTCCTGGAGTATAATAAACCAAAAGACTATAGGACAGATCTGGAAAAATGTGAACATTCCTGTAGCACACCCCTCCCCCCAAGAAAAAAGCAAAGCAGAAACAAAAAAAGATAAACCTTTTCCAATTCACATGCCTGACTCGGGAGAAATCCCATCACATGCCCGACTCAGGGGAGAAATCCCAAGTACAATCGTCAAACATAAAGAAAACAACAATATCAGAGGAAAGAAAGGTACCATCTATAAGTTAATAATTTTCGCATAAACAAGTCTATTACAGTTTTTTTTCATAGAAACAAGATAAACAAATGATGTGAACCACTATAACTTTCTGTAAGATTCTAAATGAACAGATCAAAACGAAATATTAGTGGAATTAATCCCTTTATTCATTTAAGTGTGCTCATACTACCTTCAATTCAAAATCAATCAACAAGAACATTATATGGCAGTTGAAAAATATCTACCACGTTGAGTGACATTCAATCTATCTGCACAACTCGATATGTAAACCATGCACAACTCGATATGTAAACCACCTACAGCATTTACAAAGAAATTACTTTCCAAGCATCATGTCTTGTTATCAAAGTGAGCCTCCCATTTAAAGGTTAAAGAAAAAAACTTTTTGACATTTCATGTCATGAGTGGGGGATCAACCTAGTTATCAAAGCAAAATCTTTTATTCAATTAATGACTGCCCCACTTTATCTTATGTTGTTGTCAACCAAACTTCAATTGCTTCACATGACAAATGCCATTTCCTCCAAAACAAGGCAAAAACAGGATGGCAATTATCACATTACTTCATAAACTAGTATATTGAAAATGCTGCTGCAATTTGCACCATGGTACTATTGCATTTTATTACAAAAGCATTGAATCAAATTTCAAGAATAACTTTCTTAACAAACTGCTTTGATTCAAAAATACACTCTTACAACTTTAGAACTAAAATATGTTAACTAAAACTAAATGAGTAAGTAGCAATAACAGAAGAAGGCAAAAATTAAACAAGTAACGATGTTAAAGCACCTTCAAACCAGGAACATAATCCCCTCTCTTGTAGTAAGCTGGACTTTTTGCTGCCCTCCATTCTGCTGTCCCCATTCCATCTGTCAACCCAATAACAGATTACTTCCTTCAAATTTTGAAAGCATTCCAAGACATTAACAGATACACAATACCTAACACGTCTTCCTACCCAAAAAACATTCAACAAAAACAAAAACCTCCTCTTTCAAATAGAATGCAGGACAAGAAATTCTCAGAGAAACTCGTACACATGGAAACTCTAACACCAAACAACAAATCAAACTGCATTTTACTTTTCCACAAAAACCCGACAACCACCACTATGAAAGAAAAAACTACATACTAGAAACATAACTTTTCGAGCTATAAATTAACAACCATGAATGCAATAAAAAGAACAAAAGAGGAAAGGTATTTTGGGATGTTTACAGTGATTGTTTTCGCAGACTAAAATGGCAGGCAGATCCCAAAGAGCAGCCATATTCAAAGCCTCAAATAACTGCCCCTGATTCGCGGCGCCATCACCATACAAAGTAAAAGTAACATTCTCATCATTTTTATACTTCTGAGCAAACGCCAATCCGCACCCCAAAGGAATCTGAGCCCCAACAATCCCGTGTCCTCCGTAAAATCCCCCTTCCTTCTTATAGAAATGCATCGAACCCCCTTTCCCCTTGGAACACCCATCTTTCCTCCCCATTAATTCAGAAAACGATTCCAATAGAGTTCCCCCGCGGCCTAGAAAGATACAATGGTCTCTGTAGGCAGTGATGATACAATCCTTTCTCGTGATGGCGGCTTCCATGCCGACCGCCACCGCTTCCTGGCCGTCGTAGAGGTGGCAGAAACCGCGGATGAGTTTGGCTTTGTAGAGAGAGTCGGCGGCAATTTCCATCCGGCGCATCAAGGCCATGTCGCGGAAGAACGACATGAGTTCTTGTGCTGTGGTATCGACGGAACGGGAGGGCGGCTCGATCTTGTGGCCGGTGAAGGGAACGCTGGTTTCGACGGTGATTGTGGAGGTGGAGTCGGTGGAGATGTGGCGGAGGTAGGAGACAGCAGGAGTTAGGTGGCGTAGGAGAGCGGTCGTGGTCCGGTGAGTCGAGAGGGCCATCTTCAGCTGTTGGTTTGCTTGACTTTTTTTTTTTTTGTGTTTTATTCTTTTTAAGGATGGGCTGACGGGAAATTTATATGGTGAACAGGGAAATTATGACGGGCGTCTGTTTGGTTTGGTGGGAGCGTTGGAGAAGAAATGTGAATTAACTATATATTCCCTATAAATAACAAAATGAGAATTTCAGCTGTAACCTATAGGTAGTATTCGATGGGACGGACGAGAGAGACACAGTCCACTTGCAAAGATTGAATGCTACAAATATAAACTTTTGGGAAAAAAAAAAAGAGAGGAAATGTCCAAGTAAAATACTACCATTAGAATCGAATCAGACCGGAGAAAAGCAAAATAAATGAGAGAAAAAAAAAAGCATATATAAATCCATAAAGCAAATATAGTGTAGTGATATATCCCACTGTCAGGCCCGCCGTAATATATGGTATTAGTTGGACCTTCCTTTAGTTTTTACAAACAATAATTAAATCGTCCACCCAAGGCTGAGTGGGGCTTCAATAATTGCATAAGACGCAATTCAATTTTAAGATTATTATTTTCTTTGTTGGTAATTCGTTTGCATTGCAGACAATTGGTAATAAAGTTAAGGGCAAAATATAAAAAAACTCCCTCCGGTTAAATTAACCTATGAAAAAGACTCTTATGATTTTAAATCATATATTTTCGATCCCTCATAATTGAACTAATTTGAAACAGCAATAGCAATCATCAAAACTAATAAAGGTGGACTAAATGACACAATTAGCCTAATATATATATATATATATATATATAGGCAATAAAAGACTTTTTTACAACGATCTTATTAAGCAAACCTACGGAAAAGCCTTCTATGATTAAACCAATCTACGGAAAAAGGCCCTTTATGATTACATGTTTCTTTTATTTATTTATTTTATGCACAAGAATAAGGTAAGTTATATTTAAAAGTTTTTATTTATTTATTTTGTGTATATAAATTTATTTTGGAGTATTTGTTTATTGTATGTATTGAAATAAAGAGAGTTGTATTTGAAAGTTTTGGGGAGTTTTTGAATATTTTATGAGTTCTAGGGGGTTTGATAGGTATATTAGCTAAAATATTGATTTAAAAAACAATTTTCCACGTCAAATAACCTCAAACTCTTTAATTTAAATGATTGTTGTCAATTTTTCACATTAATTCAAACCACAAGACATTAGATTGTATGATTTAAAATTATAAGGGACATTTTTGTAGGTTTGTTTAACCATATGGGTTTTTTGATATTATAACTCTAACGGTATAATAGGTATATCAATTAAAAATTGTTTGTTTTTGCTACAAATACTCTCAAAAGAAGCACGTGTATTTCAAAACCATTACTTTAGATGATTTCCGCTGCTTTTGTAAATTAGTTCAAATCACAAGATATTAGATATTAGTGTCTATCTTTTGAAATTATAGGAAATTTTTTTATATGCTCACTTAATCTCAAGGGGTTTCTCGTATTTTACCCTAAAGTTAATTATCAACTTGTTTGGATGGTGTGTATAAATTGTTATATAATCAAATGTGACGACAGAATATACATTATGAAAACAATTTTGCTTGTAGCCTTGGTTCAATTTTCATGAACATATTTAGCTATCATTTTTTTTATATATACTAAATTATTACATTATATATATATTTTTATAAAGATTCCTAAAAATAGCAGTTCACACGAGAAACTATAGCTATGCCATGCTATTATATTATAGTCTTTTTTTTTTGATAATGATTATATTATAGTCTTTGTTTTAGGAAGTTGAATTAAATCAATTACTATTAGTTTAGTTTTGGTAAAATCAAGTGGTGTGGTGCCTTGAGTCCGTCGAACCATTGTGTCACTCTTTTTTACTAATTAACCTTATACTTAATTGGGGTCTAGCAACGTCAAAACGAGCCGAGATTCGAACTCCGGGCACATTACCGAAAGAAGAAATTCATAATATAAATATCCTTACAATTATCTGTTTCAATAGAGACGATAATAAACACAACAGCTCATTTTCTCTCCCGCCATGCCCGCACCCTGCTGCATCTTCTCCCCTCCCCTTCTCTCACTCACCACACCGAAGTCCTCCCCATTTCTACCCTACCAGACTCTCCCCCATTTCCGAGCCTTCAATTTCTGCTCGCCCAAGACTCTTCACACCTCAAAAAACCCTCTCAAATTCGGCAAAACCTTTTATAAACTCCCTAAATCAATTTTCCCTGCCGAGTCTCAAGTCTCCGACGAAGAAGACGAAGACGAAGGCGAAGAGCAACTAGAGGAGGATGATAATGAATATGCGGACGACGATGAAGATATTGCGGCTGATGAATACGACGGCGTGCGACACGAGGTGAGCGAAGAAGAGGAAGAAGAGGAAATTGAGAGTTTTTCCGTGGTGGCCGAGAGTAAGGAGTCCAAGCATGAGGAATTCAAGTGGCAGAGAATCGCGAGGATTTGTAACGAAGTTAAAGTGTTCGGCGATGAAATTCTCGATGTTGATGAGCTCGCTTCCATTTACTCTTTCAGAATTGATAAATTTCAGGTTCCTTTTTTTTTTTCTTTTGTCTTCTTCCTGTTTAACTTCCTTAAAAATTTAAGCTAAATTAAGCAATTGAGAGAAAAACTAATTCATCTTAAAATTGCGTTTGACGATTATTATTTGAGCTGAGCTCAAACGTAGTATATTTTGCTTAAACTTGTGTTGGACGATTATTACTTGAGCTGAGCTCGAATGATATCTTGTTGAGGTAAGCACTCGTGTTGAGTTCGCGTAGCTCGATTTCTCATACGTGAACTTTAAGCTTTCTGCTTCTGGAGTTTAGTTGGAGCAGAGCCTAAAAGCTTTTAAAAATCTGAACTTTGTTCGGATTTGTTTGGTCAATAAAGAACTCTCGTACCAACTTGATTTGAGTTTCTAGTCGCTTGTTTACCTTTAGCCTCACATAAATGTTTAGAGATGAAGCAAAATGGAAAATAAATCGAGAATTTTGTGAATCTTTTGCAGCTATATGCTATTTAAGTGCATAATTCTTGGTATTCACGGTTATATATTGATAGATGCACACACCACTTTATTTTGCATTTACACTTTTACAGTAAACTGTATCACTGTGTGCGAATTTATTAGCACATTTTGTGTGATTCAAGAACATATTTTGCAGATGAACATCTGGTCGTCATCTACTTGTTTACGTGTTATCTAATTGTAGAAGTATAAAGTTTTGGAACCTGTTTGCAGCGATCGGCAATTCAAGCATTCCTGAGAGGATCATCAGTGGTGGTTTCTGCACCAACCAGTAGTGGGAAAACTCTAATAGCAGAAGCTGCAGCAGTTGCCACAGTAGCCAAAGAAAGAAGATTGTTCTACACAACTCCCTTAAAGGCTCTATCTAATCAGAAATTCCGTGAATTCCGGTCTGGAATTTGATTAAAGTAATAGTTTAACAATCAATTTATATTTTTATCGTTAATTTTGTATATTCTTGTCTGAGACATGTATATCAATTATTGTGGGCCTATTTGAAGTGAAGCATTTGGTGATAGTAATATTGGGCTCATTACTGGAGATTCAGCTATTAACAAAGATGCCCAAGTTGTAATTATGACTACAGAGATTTTGCGCAACATGCTGTATCAGAGGTAAATCATACTCCTACACTGGCTAGTGTTCTATTGTTTCCACATACCATGCGAGAAAAGTTTGTCAAAACTAATTAAGATTCATTTAGTTAGAAAGATGATATGCTTTTCTTTAGTTAACATTCTCGCCTTCCAGTGTAGGAGTTGTTTCATCTGAAAGTGGACTTCTCCATGTTGATGTGATTGTTCTGGATGAAGTGCATTATTTGAGTGACATATCTCGGGGTACAGTTTGGGAAGAGATTGTGCGTGCTTCTCTCCCATCAGAAACTCTTTATGGTTTTAGTTATAGTATATCACATGAATTGTTCCAAAACTCTTTCAGGTTATATATTGCCCAAAAGAAGTGCAACTCATATGCCTCTCAGCAACTGTTGCTAATCCAGATGAACTGGCTGGTTGGATTAATCAGGTAAATGAATTACCCTTGGCAGATGTAGGTGCGGTCATAATTTTAATAAGGACTCATTTGACAATGGAGCGATTGACTTTGATCCTTATCTTTTCTTTTACATTTTCTACTGTAAGATTCATGGTAAAACCGAGTTGGTGACGTCATCCAAGCGTCCAGTTCCTTTGACTTGGCACTTCTCAACAAAGACAGCTTTGCTACCTCTTCTTAATGAGAAAGGCACTGGCATGAATAGGTAGCCTCATCTTCTTTTGCTGGTCCATCAAAAGGGCCCTGCAGTCTTCTTGTGCTGATTGTTGTTGCTTTTGTGTACATATCTCATGTTTCTGAGATATTGAACTTCATCCTGCTGTACTTCATTTTTACAAATTTCTGTGCCCCTATTTACTGTGTGTCTGGGCATTGTTGGGGGCCTTTTTGGTTTATGATCCATTATTAGTTAATCATTTATTTAGTGATAAAAAATGCATACGATGAGGCAATTTGGTTACTCACCCACCTGTATATGCAAGTTTCTTATTGTCATAGAGGGTCTTTTATCGATTTCTTGTAAAAATAAGGGTCCCATTCTCCAACCTTGCCATGGGAGCCAAGATCTTCCTCCTATTTGATCTTCCTCAGAACTTTTGTCATGGGATCCGCACCAGAATTGAGTTTGATATAAGACAGAACAGTTGGTGATCAGAGTTCTCAAGTTAGCATTACTTCCTCTGTCTATTCACTGAACGTATTTCATGCATCTAAAATGTGTTTTTCAAATGTCTCTTTCTTGATATCCTCAAAAAATGGGAAAAAAGGAATAATAAATTTATACTAATTATTTTCTGTGTTGCTGGTACTTTCTTTCTTTTGATTGGGACAGGAGGCTCTCACTAAATCGCATGGAACCTGATTCTTCTGGAACTGATTTCTCCAAGGATGAAAGGCCCAGGAGAAGGAACTCAAGAAAACATGAAAATGATGTAACTACACTTTCAAAGAATGGTGTAAACACCACTCGCCGCTCACAAGTATGGACTGAACCTTAGCTATGCAACTTTTAGTTGGCAACAATACTGTTGCCATCTTATTCCGTGCACATAACACATACTCGTTTTTGAAAATGGACATATTAGTGTTACTATCATTACTTCTCTCTCTCTCTCATTCCACTATCATCCTCATTTCATAATTTTTTTCTTCCCTGGTCCATGGTTTTACTTTTCTTCTTTTAGGTCCCTCAAGTTGTAGACACGTTATGGCAGCTTAAGGGATGGGATATGCTTCCTGCAATTTGGTTTATCTTTAGCAGGAAAGGATGTGATGCAGCGGTGCAGTATCTTGAAGACTGCAAGTTACTTGATGAGTGTGAGATCAGTGAAGTTGAACTGGCACTGAAGAAGTTTCGTGTTCAATATCCTGATGCTGTCAGAGAATCTTCCGTGAAAGGTCTTCTCCGAGGGGCTGCAGCTCATCATGCTGGCTGCCTTCCCTTATGGAAATCTTTCATAGAGGAGCTGTTTCAAAGAGGGCTAGTTAAGGTTGTTTTTGCCACGGAAACACTTGCTGCTGGGATTAACATGCCAGCGAGGACAGCTGTAATTTCGTGTCTTAGCAAAAGGGGTGAAAGTGGACGTATCCAGTTAAGCTCAAATGACTTGATGCAAATGGCTGGCCGTGCTGGTCGTAGGGGCATTGATGATAGAGGTCATGCAGTTCTTGTTCAAACGCCATATGAAGGCCCTGAAGAGGGCTTCAAGCTTCTTTTTTCTGGCCTCAAGCCTCTTGTATCACAGTTTACTGCTTCTTATGGAATGGTTCTGAATCTTCTAGCGGTACGTTATTTAATGCAACATCATATTAATCCAGCTATCTTCATGTGATGTACTTCATTAAACGTGACTATGCAGGGTACAAAAGTTAGAAGTAGAATGAGTGAATCAGATGACATAAAAGTCTTACAAGCAGGCCGGACTTTAGAAGAAGCGAGGAAGTTAGTCGAGCAGAGTTTTGGAAATTATGTTGGGAGCAATGTTATGCTTGCTGCCAAAGAAGAACTTGCTAGGATACAAAATGATATAGAGATGCTGACTGCAGAAATTACTGATGAAGCTATTGATAGGAAAAGCCAGAAACTGTTGTCTCAATCAGCATATAAAGAGATTGCCACCCTCCAGGAAGAACTAAGGGTATGTCAGGCTTCCGTACATTGCTTATGCTTCCAGTTTTAATGAACCTCTACGGTCTGTTAATAAGAATGCTTTGACAGACTCTGTGTATGGTCTCTGGTTGACCATTTTCCATTAAGTTAACACTCATTCAGTCATTGCACTATAAGTACTAAATTTGTCTTCTTTGTCCAGTGGATTACTTTTAGCACTTGAATAATCTTTTGCTGTCCTTCTCAGCAAGTTCAAGAATTCTCAGATGGTTCTCCTGTCACAAATTTCATTAGTTTTTTTTTTTTTTGGTTAGTTTAGGTTTTGAATTTAATTGTGGCACTTTTTCCTCAGGCAGAAAAATGTAGGCGGACTGATCTACAAAGAAAAATGGAATTGGAGAGACTCTTTTCTTTGAAACCTCTGTTGAAGGAGCTTGAAGATGGGCACTTACCCTTTATGTGCTTACAGTATAATGATACTGATGGGGTTCAACATCTGCTTCCTGCTGTCTATCTGGGGCAGCTTGATTCTCTGAATGCTTCCAAACTTAAAAAAATGGCAAGTGTGTTTAACCTTTTTTTTTGTCTTTTCCTTTCTAAAGAGCCAGTATTCAATTATGTCTTGCTGCTTGTACGCAGGTCAGCAGTTCAGATTCTTTTGCACTAAGTTTAGACAGACAAATTTATCAATCAGGTTATACTGGATGCAAACATGAAGTTGCACTATCTTATCATGTGGCTCTTGGTTCGGATAATTCTTGGTATCTTTTCACGGAAAAGTGGATAAGAACAGTTTACAGGACTGGCTTTCCTAATGTTCCCCTGGCTCAAGGTGATACTTTGCCTCGGGTAATCATGTCAGAACTTCTTGACAAGGGGGACATGCAGTGGCAGAAGCTTGTCGAATCTGAGCTTGGGGGTTTGTGGTGCATGGAAGGATCTCTTGAGACGTGGTCTTGGAGTTTAAACGTGCCAGTCTCAAGTAGTCTTTCACAAGATGATGAGGTAACTGTGATAGTAAAATGCTGCAAACTTTGTTGAATTCCAACTACCAAGGAAATTTCTCTTCATGCATTTGTGATGTTGTTTGGTAGGGGATTCATTGCTATAACTTCAACATCTAACTTTACCTGAAAATACTTCACTTGCATCATTTAATTGTTTCAAAGATGTATCTGCAGTTATATTTCTGCTTAAAGCACTTTGTCCCATCTAGAATCCTCACCCTAGCTTATTTGCCCCAACAATAATCTGGTTACTGACCTTCATGATATGTGGCTCAGTCTAGGATGAAAACAGTGTATCTGGTTGAGACTTTCACTTGAGCTAGGTTTCCTGCATATTTTTGTATTCGTGATTCATTCATCAAAGAGTTTCTCTTGCACTTTTTAATGAATACAAGCTTGACAAGTTTAACTTTTAATGTATTGCTAGGTACTAAAACCATCTCAAGCATACTATGATGCAGTACAAAGCTACAAGGATCAGAGAAATAGAGTCTCCCGTTTAAAGAAAAAAATTGCACGTAGCGAAGGCTTTAAAGAATATAAGAAGATAACTGATTTTGCCAAGTTTACTGAAGAAAAGATTCGACGTTTAATGGCCAGATCAAAGCGTCTGACTAACAGAATCAAGCAGATTGAACCTTCTGGTTGGAAGGAATTTCTGCAGGTAATATGAGGAGTTGTCCATGATTTGCTTTGCATTCTGGTCATAATTGGAGTTATTCATCGTTAGTTGTGATTTCCTCTGCATTTCCTAGGGAATATATATGTGTAACAAGCTATACCCAGGTGCTGTGTGCTGGTTATGTTTCTTCATATCTTTGTCACTGACAGGCTTATCCTTCTTCTGAAGGCAATACGCTAATTTCTTAGCTTAGTCTTTGTGGTTATGATCTACTTCCTCCAAACCCAGACCTTTGTTTGATGTTGGGAAAAGAAATTTGCATGATATTAAGGGTTCTCTATCTTCTTGTTTCATCATTCTATTTGACTTTTTTGTAGAATGGTTTTGAATTTGAGTGTCTACCCAGCTATCTTTGGAGTGGTATCCATTTCTTGACATTGCTCTGTCATCCAAAGTTTCCAGTTCTCCTGTATTTCGTGTCATTTCTGATTTTCAGTGGTAGAAATAGTGCACTTGATTTTTGATATGTTTTGACAAAGATAAGAATGTAAGAATTCTTCCACACTTAAATAGGCACCAGAGTTGGGCAGTGAAACTCAGTACTTTACAATCGAAATGCATTCACTAGCACATTCTGGATAATTCATTTTGTAAATTGATATAGAATTACTCTAGAAGTTATTGCTCATTTTCCAACATGTTTTGAGGAGTAAAGGATGCAATTCATAGATGTTTCCTGTCTATTAAGAGTGCAGGAGCTGTTTCATTCAGAATAGTTGACCTGATTTCTGTTTGTAAAACGGTAGCTGTTCAAAAAGTTGTACTGCAAGACCTAGAAATCTTTTGCTTCAACTTTTGAGAATAGATAACAGAAATTTCCTCTTAAAGTTCCATTTTATTTATTCATCTGTATTTTATTGGTCAGTTACTTGATAAAGATAATTATATTACCAAATATTTTCTGCCAAGGATTACTTGTCAACTTTATCAGAATATCCTTGGACAGCTAAAACTATGTTTTTCCCGCCTAAACAAGTTCTTGACATCTTTCAGGTCAGCAATGTCATACATGAAGCTAGGGCCTTGGATATAAACACACACGTCATATTCCCCCTGGGTGAAACTGCAGCTGCAATTCGGGGAGAAAATGAACTCTGGCTTGCTATGGTTCTTCGAAACAAGATATTGCTGGATCTAAAACCTGCACAGTTTGCTGCTGTCTGTGGAAGCCTAGTTTCTGAAGGGATTAAGATCAGGCCCTGGAAAAATAACAGGTATCTTTGTTACTCTCGGATGAGTATGTAATCTCTTAGAATTCTGACTAGTTTAAGATCTCTGGGATGATGTGAGAGTCCAGAATAATGGTGTTCCTATTTGATTCAGTAAGTAATTATCTTATAAGTGGAGATTTGCATGGTTAGTAACAAAAATAATAATGCATGTATTAACATTTTGTCTGGTCTGCAGCTATATATATGAAGCTTCCTCCACTGTGACCAACGTAATCGAATTTTTGGCAGATCAAAGAAGCTCACTCTTAGAACTTCAGGAAAAGCATGGAGTAATGGTGAGTTGCTAAATCAAGAGCTGTCTCAGTTGCTACATGAATATTTGCTTAAAAGCCTGCACCATCCTTTCTTTGCCGCTCTTTCCTGAATTACACTTTTATTACTGGACCATGTTTTTGGCTTACAGATACCTTGCTGCTTGGATAGCCAATTTTCTGGTATGGTTGAAGCCTGGGCTTCTGGTCTAACTTGGAGAGAGATTATGATGGACTGTGCGATGGATGAAGGTGATCTAGCTCGTCTCTTACGTCGAACAATTGATTTATTAGCACAGGTATGTTGCTATTGACACACTGTACTTGCACAAATAATGTATGTATCAAGTTCCTGGCTCGGCCGCTAAGTATTGATTTTTCACGATTGGCAGATTCCCAAGTTGCCTGACATTGACCCACTACTGCAAAGCAACGCCAAGGGTGCATCTGATATCATGGACCGTCCCCCGATAAGTGAGCTGGCGGGGTGAGCAATGACGAGGACATTAATTGGAGAAAATTATCTAATTGTGGGTGATGGTGTCCATTTCTACAAATTTCAAGGGACTGTTGATGATGGCAGACAAAAGCTACAAGAACATGCAGGTGAGGTGTGTGGCAAATTATTGGAAGGAAATGAAAAAGTTCCATACTTAGTTGCATCAGTAGAGGTCCTGAAGGAGACTACATAGCATAAATTGGTTGATGTTTGAGACTTCAATTGAAGTTTTTTGAACTCACACGTTACATCCAGCCACTAATTTGACTAAATTGGAAAACGTTACATTTGCCACTTACTATTGTAAGAGGAGAAACCATTATCATCATCAAGGGGTAGGTGGGGAATCATTGTTGATCCCTTTTAAAAAGGAAAAGAATAGGAGAAACCATTATTCTTTACATGAGATTGAGACGTGTTTACATTTATTTCGATGATTTTTTCTTACTCTTTTTTTATCAATTGTTGCGACTTTTGAACAGAGATCTCTAAGAAGATCTGTGAAGAGCATTGAGATGTGTGAGTTTACCTGCTTTGAGCAGGCAGAATGACATGGTAAAGTATCAACTGCCAAGATAAAGTATTTTGGTGTTCATTTATCTGGTCACCTGAAATTGCCTTTAAGACGCAGAAATTGGCGTGGAATCCTATTAATTGCGAAGATGCAGTTACTCCTTGGACATGGTGGTGAAACCGATGCATGTTTGCAATCGACAAATGTGCATTCTACTGTCACTTTTATCCCTATGCCATGCTGTTCGGGGGGGTGGGGTGGTTGCTGCTAATTAGTTACTTCCGTTATTTAGTCTGAAAACCAGATTCTCAGGAATGGATATTCGTATAGATAAGTAGGGTATAATTATAGGTTTTTGTGCTTTGTTAGATTCGTGAACAATAACAAGCCGATGCTTCTTGGTTTGTGGCTGCCTAACCGTACTTCTTCGGTTGAAATATACTGAATTCAAACCTGTCAATGGGAGAAAAGAGGAGTTATGAATATTGATGGGGGCCGGTGTGGTTGGCAGGTCCGCTGCACCGTCCAGTGCAAGGCCCCAAGATCCGGCCCATCGAGCCCAATCTAAGGCCATTTACCGCATGGGCCCGTTGGCCCTGCAACCGCAGAGACCCTGGATCCTGTGAATACAACATCAGGCCCAGCAATTGACTTTAAGAATTGAATAATGCGCAAATTCTGTGTGCATTTTTCTGCTGTGGTGCTTCTGTTATTATCATATCATATATAAAAGGCAATAATTCTGTAGGCCTTTTCTTTTTGTATTTAGGTGTTGAAGAAGGCAACATAGCGGCCTGTCAAGTTCCACAGCCACCAATAAAAGCGACTGCCAGTTATTGACGTACATTTTATGTTGTGCTGCAAGAATGTTCAGGTGAAAATTAGCGACAACTGCAGAAGTTGGTATAAGAAGAAAAGCACTATCTGGCTACAAAAGTTTCCTATAACATATAATGCTCTTTGCCAAAAAGCGTTGATTTCTTGGTGGTGAGGGGCGTGATAATTGTCACAAAAAATTATACTATATGAGCTATGCACTGAAATAACGAATTTATACAATCAAACAAATGCATAAATTCAAACTACTGCAAAGCAACAATAACTTGCACGTTTTAGGGGTTAAAGTACCTAAAATTGTTTTATACCAACATTCATTACATTAATTGCATTAGCATACACATTAGTTTTGTTAGTGGATATACATTTTAGAGTACAATTGTGGCAGATAACCATAGAGGTTATAGATCTTGCTTGACGCCTGAACATGTAACTTACCGTCGAATTGGCTGTCACTCACTTATCCAATTACCCCTTCAGCTAGTCCCATCTCCTGGATCAATAACTTGGACCATAGATGCTTTTATCTTAGGGCCGTAGCCACAAATATTTTTTTATTATTTCCCCGCTGTCTGCCGGCATGTGAAGCGAATTCAGCTCCCGTAGCCATGCAGTTTTCGTTGTATCTCACCCCTTAAAACTCCAGTTCTCATGAAATAGACATCTTAAAGAAAATTAAAACTAAAGGCAAAAACAATGTACTTTATTGAATAAAGAGTTGTTTTAGTCGAAAAGAAACCAGGACATGTTTTTCCTACACATGCGTTCTGAAAGCAACTTGAAAAGAAAAGGCCTGAATGGTCACCAACAAAAGGTATGTATCACGGTGCCAATATATACACATCATTGCTATCTCCAAGATTTGAACAGAAAATGTAACTCCTAAGCCACTAGTATCTCTTTAGCTCATCCTTATTCATTTAATGAGAGCTAGATTACATGACAAAGCAGAGGTCAAGTAGTATATCCACTTCTGGTGTAAACTAATTTCGAACACCTCTACCTAATGTGCATGGTTCACCACTGAAGAATACACTGACAGAAATATCAGGAGCTCTATATTCTGTACTCTGTATTGAAACCAAGAGAAAGGAGTCAAAAGAGAAAGAAAGATACCGATGTCTGAGGTTTCAGATCATGCAAGATACTAGGCATAGCTAACTCGAAAGTTCTGTAGTACATAAACATGAAGTTATTAGCATATATAAAGGCTAAATACTGTGAGAGATGCACATTCCGGAGTAAAGGACGAAGATACACCTATCAACTGTTACTCCTGCAGAACTGCATATTGACTAAACAGCAATTTGTCCCAAATTTTATTGAAAAAACCATTTGAAGACTTTGCATGCCCATTGCATGAGCCATTCTCATGCGAAATTCTCCTCTTCTTCCTCCTCCTTAACAAAAGGTCTTCAGTGTCTAAAACATAAAATACCTACAAACACAAAGAGGACACATAACAACCACTTTAAGTTTCTACGAATCAATAGATTGCACTTGTTATTTTGTGTTTGAACTCAATGAGTAAAATAGAATACCTTTGATGTGTTGCAATTAATCTTACACTCCAGACCATTACGCATCACAAGTCCCTTACTAGCCTCCATGAAAGCATCATTTTCATCTAAATGCATATATTTCCGCTTATTTCTAACAAAATAAGAGTCATCAGTGTAAGCATAATTCATTCTACAAGTTACAATGTGTTGAAGTAGTACCTTCTCAAGTACAACCCAGGATTGACCTTTCTCTCAGGAACAACAACAGACAGAAACTCTGTCAGATAAGCTGCAAAGTTTGGATCCATAGAAACAGCATTTGAATCTGGTTTATCAAACGAACAGTCCATGAGCTGTATAGACAATCTTGTTGGCACAGATGACTGCAGTAGAATCATACAGATTACTTTAGAAGTATAACCTTATGAGGAAGAGATCATCCTGAAAGAGAAAACCAGGTAAAAGTTGCAATAACTTACACATTCTATTCGATAAATGTTCTCATCATTAAGAAAGACGTGGACGTTTTCATTGTAGTAGCAATCAACAAATTTTCCCGGTTTTCTTGATCTCTCGTATGCTTGTAGTTGAAGAAGTTTGTTGTTCATCTCCTCGGTTGCAATAGTTTGTAGCTAAAGGAGACATCAGAGGCATTTAACTTCAGCTTACAGAGTACAGAAGGTCATAAATTAAGGTCACAAAGATAGATTACCAGTAGCATGCCACTCACCTGTTTGACAAGTTTATATATAAGCTTGTCCAATGTAAAAAGAAGATAAGATTGAGTTCCAATAATAGCCCGGCAGTCATCCTCAAACTTGGCATTATCAGCAGAACCATCTAGTAAACTGTAAAGAGCATTCATAAACCTGTAAACACGAGAGCTTTCAATTATAAGAATGGTGGTGGCCAGAAAGTCTGTCATAATGATTACCATGTAAATGAACTACCTAGCATAGGAGTCTGTTGGATTTGTATCATTTGAAACCCTCCATTTATTTTCAGCAGAAGAAGAATGCAACTTTGCCTTGTGTATTCTTTCATACAGTATCTGTCATATATCAAAGAACAACATTCATGTGAGTGAAAAAAAAATTGCATGTAAAAGCCCAGAAACTGATCCAGTCACACAGGAAGCTGGCATTTGCTCTCAAATAACAAAGTACTTACATGGTGAAGCCTGAAAAGCACATAGAAGGAATCATTCCCGTAGAAGATCTGATAACCCTTATCCCCTTCAGGTGATCCTGGAGGAATTAACTTTGTTAGAGGTTTAGCTGCCTGCAGAAATCGTTCTGAGTGTGGCAAAATAGCTCCATCCCCTTCAACATCATGAGCATCTGCTATTCCTTCTGCCTCACCCTCACTTTCAGCCTTGTTATCATTTGCATCATTCTCTCCATCTTCATCAGGCTCTTCAGGAGAGCACTCCTCTCCATCAGCAGATTCACTTGCTGAAACATCACCATTTCCAGAAGTGTTCTCACTGTCCTCTGATGACCTACGAGCACTTTCTTCACCTTCATCATCACCATCGGCATCATTTTCTCCGACTGCATCTCCGCCACAAGTTTCTCCTCCTCCAGTTACATCTTGATGCTGCGTCTTATGAGCATTAACCTTTGCATCACGTTCCACCTCTTTACATTCTGCAAAATTATCCTCCTCAAAATCACCAGTAGGAGATAATTCCCCTTCCTCTCTCTCCATTTTGAAGTGGGCTACAGATTCTTCTTGGAATTTCTGAATTTTGAAGCCTTCTGGAGCAGTAACAGCTGAAGATGACTCAGGTTGAGTACAATCAGCATTCTGTGAAATACACAGTGTCCAAAACTAAGATTAAAAAACAAGAAGTGTCAACAGATGCTTACAAAATTCAAAAAAAAAAAGATCCATTGACAGATCAAACTCAAGTCAAGAGCCATGTGAGCCACGGCTGAGCTCAAAATATTGCAATCACAAAAGATCATCTCCGATATGGACTTTTAAACCCCACAAATTCACAACACAAACCAGCTCAGCTTCTAATCTTGCAGCATTAACAGCTCCAATTACTAAAATTGAGAGGCATCAGATGTTTCAAGGTTAGGAATTTATGAAAGAAGCAGTTTGTTACAATTCATGTAGATTGTGAAGTGACTGAAGCTTCTTCTTCTTTGCCTTTTTTCTATTTCACCTAAACTGTATCCACAGCAACTTAAAACCAGATTGATTGAGCCATATTGAGTCCTCAAAGATGCAGTCAAATTGGTGTGTAATCAGCTGGATCAGGCACATACCCCCACCCGCCGGGTTTTTACTGAACCCTGGGTCTCATTGTTGCATTTTAAGTTTTATATTCTAAAGGTTTACAGATGTTCTTAATTGGTGTGTGTATGTCGGAAGGAAGGGATGCTTAAGTGAGGTCACGGGCTTTAAAATAAGAACAAAAATTGCAAAGATATCTTTTTATCGGTCTGCAACAATACTTGTCCCTTAATATGGTAAAGAAAATACTTGTCTGTTTTACTTGAGAAAGTAAGTTCAGCCCATAAAATGAGTAACCGACATAGTGAATGATTTTTCAAAGGCTATTCACAAGTGAAAGGCTTTTTTTTTTTTTGTGGCTATTTTCACTTGGATACAAGTATAGAAATATAACTTTTTTGACCAATTAGTAAATAAAATATTCCTGCAATGTATAGGCCTGCAAACCATCAAGAAGCACAGATGAACTAAAATATAAGTATGCTAACTACAGTGATCTATCCACCCATGAAAGACAGCTGGCTTGTGTAGCAGTATTTACCAGGTGTGGAAGAGAGACGTCTAACCCACAGAGAACATGCTGAGACCATATCTACTTCCCAAAAGAAACTATTGATTAACTTGTAAAAAGAATAGCCAAATATGAGGAAGGATTAGTTCCCCAGCGAGAAGTCAATTTGAAGCACTATTGGGTTTCACTATAGATTCTACATGAGCAACAACAGATGCAACTCAAAAGTTTTAAAAGCATGCAACTTGTTTCTTAAAAGCATGCAACTCCTGTCCTGTGTGAAAATATTTTCTCCTTTTTCCAATTATTTCAAACATAATTTTCTATCCCACCACTTTAAAAGACCACCTTATTAATCAGGTGAAGATGTTTG